CCTGCGCGAGCTGGCGCACCTTGGCGTCCATCAGCCCGAAGATGCCTTGGCCGCCGCCTTCGTGTTGACGATGATGCTGTAGCTCGTCCTTGCCCAACGGGGCAGAGGCCGCCATGGTCGTGCGTGTCATCGCGTAGGAGTTGATGTTGCTACTGATGTCCATGCACACCTCGTCACCTACGCGCTGCCGCAAAGTGGAAGTAGTGGCCATCTGCGACAGGGGAGTGGGCAAGAAGTGGTGGTATGCCTGCGCAGCCGACGACGAAGGGCTGGGTGAGGCACCACCGACGTAGGTGGCGACAGAGGCGAAGAGGGGCTCGCAGTCGGAATCGTTGAAGGGGTCTTCGAAAAGCGGTGACGAAGATGCCGAAGATGAAATCGAAGATGGCGAAGCTGGGGACGAAGGGGACAGGAATGGCGAGGCTGGGGCAGAGCTGTTTGGTCGCAGTCGTGGCAGGGAGCGGTCGCCGAGTGGTGCACTGCCGCCGCTTCCTCCCTTTCTCTTGTTGTTGTTGGTGAGTACAAGTTGCTGCATCGTCCGCTCGTGCGTCATGGCTCTTTCTTTGGCTCTCTGGTCCGTTCGCACTCGTGCGTCGTAGGTCACCTCTCGGGCCTCTCTTGTCTTGACAAGGGCTCCACACACTCGCCTGACCTTCTTCTCTACTCCTCCACCGCACGACTCGTCTTTCTTTCTCTCTCTTTTCCCAATCCCTCCAAGCGTGAGGAAACACGACCGGCTGCTTCGGGGTCTCAAACGGGAGAAGGGCGCGCGACAGCCAGCACACAGGGACTCGTCTCGCACACAACAGAGGAAGAAAGATAGAAAAGCCCCTGGACTGCGCCTTCTTCAAGCTCCTCTCGCTTGTGGTTGTGGTGGCAGGCTCGCAGCTGCAACACGCCCTCCCGCACACGGCACGAGACCCGGGACTGTCGCACGAACCCGCGCCGTAAGTTACTTGATGCCCCCGGAAATTTCACCAGGTGTCAACCACATGTGTCGCATTCCTGGGTGACGCGCACATTCCAGACACATGCTGGCGGTTGAGGGCTCCAACCCGAACACGTTTCTAACCCATAGCCGAGTTATGCATCTAAAAACTCCCACCGTGGCCGCGAACGCGACATGGCGAACAACATGTGCGCTGTCAAGATTAAGCGAGACAAGCCACGCGACAGTCAGTTGGCGGCCAACTACTCAAGAACTTCTTCTTTTTGCGCCGGAATGGCCACGCCAAAGTAACCGTGGAGCACCCAGCGCACGGGTGGTTGGTGCGGCGTTCCCCTAGAGCGAGGGAGATGAGGATGAAGATAAGGGGGCGTGGGTGATGAAGGGTGAGAGTCTTCTCTCTCTTCGTTCTCCCGTTGGCGATTATGTGGATTGGCTGGAGGTTGTGTCTTGGCTGGAGGTAGCGGCCTCTCGGGTTGTGGTGGTAGCATCGGCTGGAGGAAAGGGACCACCACGTACGACACCGGCCGCAGCGAGGCGTCGGTTGCGCTGCGAGGCGAGCATGTAGACCTTGAAGTTGGCGACGGCGGCGAAGGCGGCGGCGATGAGCGACGGCAAAACGATGTGTGGAGTGAAGGAAAGGAGGAGCGTGGCGACCAGCAGGTAGCCCACGTGGGTGGAGAGGATGTAGGCGTCGACGGTGGACGTGGGCGGCAGGTTCTTCTGCGTGAACAGGTTGTTCTGCGCCTCACTGGTGTAGGCCGAAAGCAGCACACGGTCCATGGCACGGTCCACCGCGAACACGCCCGCGAGGAAGCCGGCCGTGCCCAGCCCCGTCCGAGCAAATGTGCGTTTCGCCAACTGCAGCGACACGCCGCGACCGCACACGACACATGACACAACGCTGGCATGAGTGGGTGAACGAGCCAGGGAGCGGTTGTGCGGGGTACCAGCGCTCGGGCGGCCGGCATGAGGGGCAGCCACTCGTTTGGCTGCTGTTGGCTCCACTTGCCGAATCGGCGGCCCATCCGCAGGAAGCCGTAGAGCGAGCCCACAGCCGCCGCCGTGCAAATGCCTACACGCGTGCCACCGGGTGAGTGCACAGCGTGAGAGAAAGAGAGTACTGACCAGTAGAGTCCAATGCAAAAAGGGAGGGGGACCCATACCGATGCCCCACAAGCCGAGGTAGGTGAAGGGATCGTTCTTGATGCCGTAGGCCGCGGTGGCCGACCCGCGCAGCACGATCGGCCGTGTTCGCTCCGTGTGGTTTTGCATCGCCGCTAGTCCGCCTGCGCAGCCGTGGATCACCATCGTAAGAAGAGCGCACGCGTGCGCAGTGCTGAAGAGCGTCGTGAACCGTTCAGCTGGACAAGAGGAACGGTACCCGAAACAGCAACACCGGCCAGCACCGCCACCGAAAATTTGGGCACCGCGAGCAGCCCCACCTTCAATAAAAATATTAATATTTTTATTGAAGTTATTCCTTGGATAAAATTACATATTTTTATTGTTATTTCCTGCCGTTATTGTATATTTATTTTATTACAATAATCAACAAATCGAATTGGACGAACCTGCCACTGGCGTTGCGCGGCATCGCGTTCAAGAAATCGATTCAGCACGAGCGATGGCGTGGGCACAACAGCCTCCTCTGCCGAGGTGGACAGCAGTCGGTCTCGCGATCTTGAAGCCGAATTCCACAGAATGCGTGAGAAAGAAAGAGCAGATCAGAGCGCTTGCACGCCGGAGCTTACCCGGAAAAGCTGAGCCGCGTGTTGGGCGTGCCCAACCTCAGCTGATGAACCATCAGTGTGCGCACCGCCGCGGTGCGCTTCATCTTTCCCTGATTGACTTTTTCACCGCAGTTGGGAGAATAGAATTAAAAAAGTGGCCTTGTTTTCTATTTCTATTTCTATTTCTATTTTCGAAAAGGGGATCCAGCAGTTGGGAGAATACAGAATAAAAGGGAAAAAAAGAATAGGATAAGTGATGTGGCAAAGTGTGCAAGATATTGAAAAATTGTCCAATCTATCTGAACCACTGAAGCTAATTTGTTGTTTAGTCGGTCTTTTTAACCAAAGGCTTGGGGCCTGATTTGGCCAATAAAGGAAACAAAAGTGAAACTCCATTTCCACGACGTACACCTGGGGGTCGTAGGTGGAACTCGACCGGACTGAAAGTCTCAGGTTGACTGAAAGTACGAAACAGGAAAAGGGTGATGTACTGTTTTGCGGTTGTTCTCCGGGCAGGCAAGCACCTATGGAGCGGATTGCGAGAAGAACGAGAAAGGAGAGGTTTTGAATGTTATCACCGCTGCACACCACTTCTGGAAGCCCCGCGGTAGACTAGAGAGCGGAGTGCAGGAACCAAAACGGTGGTGGAGGAGGGAGGAACTGGGTCAGCCAGGGCACAGTCTTCATCGACGGGCGGCCATTATCTCGACTGCCTATTCTGTTCTCCTGAAGGTACACATGGTCATCACCACTGTTGAAGGGCGAGTGTTGAAGAGGATGATTAGGAGAAGTTGCGTAGCTGGGCTAGCGATAGTGTGACTTTTGCTTGTGCAACCACATTGTTTGCCAAACCTCCTAATCATCCTTTATCCCACCTTATCGCCACATCCCACCTTATCGCCATCTTGGTTTCCTCCAGCTTTGGAAAGGCGTCACTTCCACGCAGCCCCGAGTGAGCACGGGACAGCAAGTGGGACTCGTCTCTGTCCCAGGTCCCAGCTGCTACATGCTGCTGGCCACCTCGTCCTTCGATCAGGTACGGTGCCTTCCTCATCTTTCTGCTATGGTAGTGAGAATGGGACCCACACATCAATCCCGCCTTTCCGACTTGCCCGAGTTCGCGGTCAGTTGGCCGCAAGCTCTATATAACAACCCCTGGGTCTGGAGGTTGGCCTTTGGCTCGGCGGCCGCTGCCCTGGCGAATAACTTTCCTTTCTGGCGCCTGGGGCCAAGAACCCCAGGTGGTGACAAGTCCCCTGACGTGTGTGTGCTTCTGTATGGTGGTGGTGTGTGTGCAGGAACGGGAGCAAGAGGCCTCTTGGCGCCACCGCACAATCACAAGCACAAGACAACACGGTACAAACAGAAGCAGCAGCTCCAAGCCACCGCAGCCCAACCAGCAACACAGCATGAGCGGCAGCAGCGGCAGCGATGGAGAAGGCGCCATCGACGGTGTCAGCGTGGTCGATACGGCGGGTGGTGAGCGCCGAGCGCTCAACAACGAGCGAAGAGCCATCGCCGCCGAACGGCGCGGCATGAGGCGGGAGCGGGAGGCCATGCAGAGGGAGCGTGAGGCCATGCAGCGGGAGCGGGAGGCCATCGTCCGCGAGCGCGAGCGGTTCGACCTCGGGTGGAGCATGCTGGACCGGAGCAAGGCCGTCGTGGCCCAGGAGCTGCGCGCGGCCGGCGACGAGCGACAGGCCTGGCAGCGCAAGCGTGAGTGCCTCAAGCGCCGGAAGGCCGACATGCGCGCGTCCCTCGACGACCTCAAGCGACGCGAGGCCGACCTGAACGAGCGTGAAGCGCTGACGTCAGCACACCACCGGCCGACCTCAGCGCTCCCGACCGTCAGCAGCAGCGGCGGTGACGGCCAAGCAAAGTCTGAGTCGGCGCAGCAGTACCAGCAGGTGGTCGAGGTGGCGCGGTTGCGGGTGGAGCTGGAGATGCAGCGCGAGCGGATCGAGAGCATACGTCAGGCGTGGGAGCAGTCGCTGGCCGAGGCGGAGAAGACCCGGGCCGAGATCGAGCACCGGCGGGACGAGTGGGAGACGGAACGCGAGCGGCAGGCGCAGGAGCGGCGCGAGCTCGAACAGGAGCGGCAGCAGATCGCCAGCATGGTGATCTCGTGTCGGCCTCACGGCGGCTTGCCGCACCTGCGCGACCTGCCGGGGATCGGGAACTCGCCGGTGGCGGCGGCCGCTGCTGCTACCGCCACGGACACCAAGACGCCGCTGTCGCCGATCGTGGCCCTGGCTAGCGTGATGGGCGGCCCGCAGGGCCTGCACACCACCAGTCGCTCCGTCGACAGCTCCGCCGAGCCTCGGCACCACATCATCAGCGACTCGCCGCCGCGACCGCTCGAGCCAATCTTCCGACACTACGCCCACCAGCATCAGCATTGGCAGCCACCACGCCAGTATGAGGCCGTCAACGGTGCTCTCCATTCGCAGAATCCGTCATCGGTGCAACACACGCAGCACACGGAGCGGGTGCACAGTACCGCGCCCGACATCGAACCGCAGAGCGAAGACTGCGCCGGCATCGCGGCCACGGAGACGAAGGGGTCTTCGTTGTCATCGTCGATGAAGAATGGCGGCGTGCGGTCCAGTCCCGAGTGGCTGAGTTCGTCAGACGAGGACGAGGGCGGCGGCGAGGCGAGCAGCCAGCCGAGGAAGAAGCGTCAGCGACGGGACGTGCCCTCGTCCGACCTGTACGGACCCAGCAATATTCGAACGCGGAAGACGTGGGAGGAGCGTTTCGAAGATCTCAAGCGCTACAAGAAGCAGAACGGCCACCTCTGCATTCCCTACACAGGTGCGGCCCCACCACCTCGCTTCACCCCATAGACCGAGCGAGTAACAACAAAGTCAACACAACAACAACGAACAACACACATAACACCAACAGAAAAGGGTAGCTTGAAGCAGCTGTACGAGTGGATGTGCTCTCAGCGCAAGAACCACCGCAACCACGCCTTGAAGAAGGTACTCATTCTCTACGACACACACCACACACATACATATACACACACACACACCACGCACACACGATAAGTAGAGTGAGGGCTGATTGCTAAGAACGAGCAGGAGCGGTTCGAGAAACTCGATGCGCTGGGCTTCCCGTGGATGGTCAAGCGAGACGCGGCACCCAGGGTCCAGGCGGAAACCAAGCAGCAGCTTTCGTCGGGGTTCTCGGTCCACAAGGGTCCCTTCCAGCTGCCCTCCCTCGCGACGGCCCTGCAGGAGGCGCTCGATCAGTGCTCTCCGCCCTCCAGCGGCGGCGACTCTTACCCCAACTGGACCAATGAATAGCGGCGAGGGCAAGGCAGGCGAGGAAGCCAACGCGGGCGGCGCAGGCAAGGAAGCTGACGCGAGCGAGGAAGACGACGCGGGCGAGGAAGCTGATGTGGGCAACGCAGCCAAGGAAGACAACGCGGGCGAGGAAGCTGACGTGGGCTACGCAGCCAACGCAGGCGAGGAAGACAACGCGGCTGACGCGGGAGAGGAAGACGACGCAGCTGACGCACGTGAGGATGGTGTGGACAAGGGCAACAAATCTGTAGGTAAACAAATCAGCAAACACCAACATACTTTCATTACTAATCACCCACTTATGAACCAGATTTGCCACATTCTTGATGATTTCTTGCTGACCGCGCTCGCCATATCACACACAATACCACAAACACATGTGCAATGGATACATCTTCTTACACCGTCATCGTTTTCTGGTAATATAAAAGTGCATTTCTTCACAAGAAGGGAAACGCCCTTTCCGCGGCCCGTTTCTTATTTTTTTTCTTTTTTTCCAAGACAATAATAAAATCATTTTTCCTAATTGGTTCGACGCACCCCAATCCCACGCAACATTGACAAATCAATCTTGGCTGTTGTCGACGTAAAAGAAGCTTCGCACGGACCCGGTGACCACTAGGATCACGCCAAACGGAAGTCGACGTAAAAGAAGCTTCGCACGGAGTTGGTGGCCAACATAAATGGCTGGAAACCGACCATTTACCTCACCTGCTCGGTACACACGCGATGAACAACTCCGCCACTACACTGCTTATCCTGGCCCTTACCCTCGTAGCCTCGGCCCTGGTGGTTGAGGTACGTTTGCAGCCTCTCCTACAGCTCTCCGTTCGCGCAGCTTACCTGGATGCCATGGTGTCATAGGGCGTGCGCGTGGATAGCGCTTTTAACTGCCCTCGCGGCTATGGCTACTGTGCAAACTACGGCACGTGCTGCGATCTCGACTACCAGTGCGCCGACCCTAGCCAGTGCTTCGGGGGTGAACCTGACAGCGCTCTCTACTGCCCTCGCGGCTATGGCTACTGTACAGGCCTTGGATGCTGCAATCTCGACTTCGGGTGCTCCGACCCCAGCCAGTGCTTCGGGGGTGGAGCCACAGTTAATTGATTGAAAAAACACGTTGGTGGTAGTATTAAACTTTTATTTCTGTTTTTTGTGAAGAACCTCGGCCACTACCAGATCCCCAGGTCGCTGGCTCTGCTCCACTCGTGCGCTATCTTGGTCTTGTACCCAATCGCTGCTTGTGGGGTTGGTGTCTGCTGACCGCCGGTGCCTGCGCGAGAGGAATGACATGCGTCTAGGATTCCGTCCTCAAGATAAATGGGCTGAGTACTGCTTGGTTTGAGTGTTCATGCCTTGAGCGAGGCATTGTTGACCTTCTCGACCTTGAATCGATTCCCCCAAAGCATCGCGTTGGCCTCCCTGGACAGAGGCAGCAGCTTCGTCGACGCCCGGAACTGGGCTCGGGCCTGTGCGTGCAGGTACACGCTGAGTCAATCGGCAAGGATGAACCACCACATGAGAGCGCCCTTGAATGCCACACCGCGAACAGGCCCAGGAAGTAACTGTGGAAGTACTTCAGCAAGAAGACGCGCTTGACGTCCCACCGCCAGCCCTCCAGCTGGACGAGACGACCACCACCAGAACACACACACACACACACACACACAAACGAGAAACAACATGACACGACACACGACACGACACGAGACGCAGCTGACACACAGAGAGACGCCAGGACATCATATGTAGATAGAAACAATTTTCGGTTCTGTACCGCACGATAGTTTAGAAAATAAATAGGGGACAGAGGGCTAGAGAGGAGCGAAACGTTCAAGAAGAAGGGGAGGAGAGAAAGAATGAAGAGAGGAGCGCGTAGAGAGAGAAAGGCCGCAGAGCGGAGGCAGAGGAGTAGACGTAGGGTATCGGGTAGATCAGTCGCTTCGCATTGTAGGGCTCGGGCGCCACCACCGTGACCTTGCCCACGGCGCCCTTAGCCGGCGGCATAATCTGTGCACGGCGCCATGCGCGAGTGTGAGCAGACGAACGTGGCGACTGAGAGATTGGGGCGACGATGAGAAATGGCAGATGACCTGAGTGATGACCATCGGCTTGGCGATGTTGCTGCCTGCGGTGTCGAAATTGACCGGTCCGTAGAAGGTCTGTATGGTGTCCAGGTCGTGGAGGGCGGCGCCGACCTGGCTCTGGTTCTTGGGATCATCAGCCGCGCCGAGGCCCAGCTGTAGAACGTAGCCTAAGTCGTGTGTTGATGATGATGATGATTAGGCTAACAGGTCAACTGGCGGCGAGGAGGTGGTTGGAGGCTGAGGGGGGTTGGGGAGGAACCAGCAGCCGAGGACTGCGCCGCGGTGAACGAGACTTCTTCGTTGAACCGCAGACGGAATCTCTTGGCGTAGTTAGCCGCCGATCCGAACACCTGATCTGAGTAGCCTGCGCGTGGGCAGCCCGTGGAGATCGAACGGGTTATACCGACTCATGAGCATGTAAATAATAGATTTCTGGAGCGTCGTACCCAATGAAGGCTGCCACTGGGAGGGACCGAGAAGGTACCACGCATCCTTCTTCATCGCTTCAACAAAGGAGGGCTCGCTCGGTGCGCTGGTCATGAAGAAGGCGCGAGGCCGATAGCCGATCGCCTTGGTGGCGTTGACCAGCGTCTGATAATAATAAAAATATATATTAACAGAAGGTAAGTGTGTGGTGTGGACACCACAAACGCAACGAGCAGCGAAGGCGTAGCGTGGTCCACGCACCGCGGCGTCACGCAGAAGGAGACAGGCGAAGAACATATCCGGATCTTGGTTCTTGATCACTCGCATGTACTGCTGGGCTGTGGTGGCATTGAGGGTGCCCTGGCATCAGCACGCGGAGACGGTGGGTTAGTGTTGAGTGTCAGGCGTGGAACTGAATGCGGCGAGATGGCACTGCGAGAGGGACTCACCTCGGCGAAGCTGAGCACCGACGAAGCTTCTAAAACGGCGCCAGAAGCGACTAAACTGTTGAGGGCGCCCTGCGCGACACTGGAGGTGAATGCAGCTTTGGAGTAGAGCAGGGCCGCAGTCCTAGCACCGCGCATTCGGAGATAGTACACGGCCGGGTCGACGTAGTGATAAGCGGATGTGCCTGGACCACACACAACACGCAACACACAACACAGCACTGTGTCAACAAGAGGAGAGAATTCCAAGTCGGCCGAAAAGGGCTTTGAGGCGGTACCGACGCCAAAGATGAGGGGATAGCCGTGGTTGTAGATCTCCTCGGCCTGAGCGTTGGCGAACATGATGAGGCGGTCGTTGGCGTGGGCCACCTTGTTCGCCACGTCGGTCAAGCTCGTGCCATCTGGTGCGCAGAGCGGGTGCGTGTGGGGTGAGTGCAAGCCGCGACAGCCTCGATAGTGCAAGGTGCGAAGAGACAGAAGCGGTTGCGGTACAGGGTCCGAGAAGGAAGTCAGTGACGTTGAGCAGCTGCCCGTAGTAGTACTCCGTATTGTTGGCCATTGCCTGATCGTCGAACGCAACCAACTTCACCTTGTAGTTGCCCAGTCTGCAGGCAGAACCAAGGCACCACCGTGAGCACCATGCGCGAGCATCACTGAGATCAATTTGCTAAATGGAAGAAAATTGATTAAAGGATGCTTGGCTTACTTGGTGGCTATGCCGTCGGTCCCGTTGTTGATGGTCTCGGCCCAAAGAACGTAACCGTTCTTCATGTCAAGCCCCTCGACAGCCAGCAGCGACCCTGCCCCAGGGAAGGTGAACCCGAACGTCAGGCATGAGGCGGGGGCAAGCGGGCAAGACACCAGCAGCTCCGGCTCCTCCACCGCTGCCACTCCTTCAAGTGACGTCGCAGCGACCAGCACCAGCAACAGCGCCGAAGCTGCCCACCCCTTCGTCATCTTGCGCGCCCTGTGCATCTTTCCGCGGTCCCAACCAAGAAAAGACGAGGAAATGTTCTAAGGAAACAAAAATAAATAAAGAAACCCTGGGTTCGACCGAAACTCTTCTTCGCGACTGCCCACCTCGAGGTGAAGGTCTATTGAATTGGATTGAACTCTTTGTTTTTGTCGTTCAGTATGTTTACAATTCTTCGTGCACGACCGCACTGCCGAGATACTCTATCTCTGCTGGTCGGCTTGGGACTTCAAAACTGTGTTGTGAGGCCGGCTCTGGGCTTCGTTCTCGAGTTCGGCCGAGTGGACGTTTACAGCGCCAGGGCGCACTTGTGGCTGCAGAAGTGGAGGGCGACCTCGTCGCCGTTCTCTCCCTCGCCCTCCAGCTCGAGTATGCTCTCCTCTTCGCCGTCCCGCTGATCGTCGATGGCCTCGGGCCGGTGCTGGATGGTGGCCTTCGGCTCCTCCTCGCTCGAGCTGGAGGGAGCCTTCAAGCGCCATCTGCGCTGGACGGTGCCCGGGCCGTAGCGCAGCTTCGTGCAGGCCGGGTTGTGGCACTTCCTGACCTCGCGGTTGATCTTGTCGACCACCTCGGCGGGCAGCTGCGCCTGCTCGGTCTTGGCCGCGGCCACCACCTTGTGGTGCGTCCACCGATTGAAGAAGTGGAGGCAGCACTGGTCGTAGAGCGTAGGCACGTGCGTTGTGTGCTCCACAGGTCGCGCCTCGCATCCGTCGCATCGGTCGAGGCCTGGCGGTGGTCGTTACCGCACTCCTCAAAGTCGCCCGTGGGTGAGGCCGCGAGGAGGTCCTTGAGCCGGTCCCAGGCCTTCTCGTCGCCCCAGCCGATCGCCGCCCGGAAGAGGAGCGCGGCCTTGAGCACGTCCTTGGGAAGGAGGCCCTCCAGGCCCTCGCGGTGGTAGTTGGCCAGCACCAGTTGGGCCAGGCCGTGGCCCTGTCGCGCGGCCTTGCGCCACATGTCGATCGCCTGTTTGAAGTCGCGGCTCTCTATGCCCTTGGCGTGGCTGTAGCACACGCCCATGTAGTACTGGGCCACGGCGTAGCCCAGCCGAGCCGACTTGCTGTAGTGGTCCACGGCCTTGGCCGCGTCCCTGACCACACCGTCGCCCAGGTCGTAGCACACGGCCAGGTTGTAGTTGCCCCGCGCGTAGTTGTGCTGAGCCGCCTGCGTGTAGTACCGCACCGCCTTGCTGAGGGACTTCTTGACGCCTCGTCCCTTGTGGTAGCACACGCCGAGGTTGCTCAGCGCCACAGGGTGGCCCATCTTCGCGAACCTGTGTCGAGTGGCGAAGAAGAAGAGAGACAACTCTGTGAGTCACAGAGCATCGCGCCAACAACACGGCCGGTAACGAAACACACTCGTGCCAGGTGACATGTCACCAATGATAATTTGCGCATAATCGCGTGACCCTATTTCTGCCCACGACACACACGTGCGGCCCGCACCCAGGACACACAGCGTGATCGCAGCGATGATGGGAGACGGAGAAGAAGAAGAAGAAGAGGTGGGAACAAACAAGTACCTGGCGTAGAGTACGGCGGCGCGAGTGTAGTCGAGGGTGATGTCGTCGCCCCGGCCGCGGCAGCAGTGCAGGTCCCACTTGGCGCCGACGTGGCCCATCGCGGCCGCGCGCTGGAGGAGGTGGACCGCACAGCGGGGGTTGCGTTGGAGCTCCATCCCGCCCTCGCGGCCCAGCAACATCCGCTTGCCCATGTCGTACAGGAACTCGGCCTCGTCTTCGTCAACGACGACTTCTTCTTCTACGCTGCCAGTCCGCGAAGTGGTCGTTGTAGTGGTTGAGTCGCTGACGCCAAAGGTGTTGAGGTTGAACGTAGCGGGTTGCCTCTTGAGCGAACGTAGCGAGTGCAGGAGGCCGCGGCGAGTTGTTTGTTGGGGGTGGGGGCTGGTGGTCTTGAGGGGTCCGTCGACGAGGCGCTGGACCTCGGCCGCCAGCAGGTCGAGCTCTTCCTCCTCGAGCAGCCGCTCCTCGGGCGTGGTCAGGCTGCCTCTCCGCCGCGCCCACGCGGGCAGTCCGGGCACTACATCCGCTAAAAAGCCCTCCTCCTCTACTCCGCCTTGTACCATGTGTCTCGAACCTTTCTGTCCCATGTTTGTTGATGTTGCTGTAGTCGCTGTTGGCTTCTTCTTCTTCTTCTCTAGTGCTGCTTTGTTGCTTGCAAGGGGCGGTGGTGTGTAGGAAGAACAAGTCGAGGCAGTCGGTTGCGAAGATAAAGGGTTGGCTGCTAGCGCGCCAAAACTTGCCAAGCTGACGCTGACAGCGTCACGGCGACAGGAAAGGGCGCGGGCTTGTCGCTGTCAGGGGAAGGGCGCGGCGGTGTCAAGAAGGGGACAGCGGCGGCGTGGTCTTGTCCCGGTGCGGGAAGAGAAAACGAAAAAAGAGAAGACCACGCGCTGTTGGTCGCCAGAAGCCGCGTTGCTATGCCATTGGCTTGATTTTGACAAAACTGTTTCGTAACCCGAGAAGAAAACTCCAAATTGCCGTTGTTCCGGATACCCGCGTGGCTTTTCGGAGTTCAATATTTTCGAAACATTTCGTAAATTTTTCAGTAGTTCAATCTCGTGAAATCGAAATGTTTCGGTGAATCATGAAAGTAGAGGAGAAGATTATTACTCTTTGAGGATGGACGAGGAGCAGTGCCCGATTTGCTTTCGTGCGTTTGCCATAGAGCTGCTTCCGTCGCATGTGGAAGCTTGCTTGAGTGGCGGCGGCGGTGGAGGCAGCCGAGGCGGCAGCAGGCACGCCTCGCCCGCCCACACCAGCGGCACCTACGACGTACCCCCCCCCGCCTCTACTTCATGGCTTTTTTCCTCTCTCTCGCTTCGGGGGAGACAGATGATTCAAACAAGTATTATTTATTATGCTTTATCAACATTTTATTGTTTTTAATCCCTGCCCGTTTTCTACGACTCCAGGCCGACCTGGAACTGGCGCGGCGGCTGCAAGAGGAAGAGGAAGGCGGCCGTGGGCACGGCAGCGGCAGCCACCCCGCCTCTCCCGCCCAGCCGGCGACTTCCTCTACCACGTCGTCGGCCTTTGATGCCGACCTGGAGTTTGCCCGCCGCCTGCAGCAGGAAGAGGAGGAGAGGAACCGCCCGCGCGGTGTCAAATGCGAACTGTGCAGCGAGCTGACGCCCGTCGAGGAGCTCTTCATTCTCGATGTACGCAGGATACGCGGATGATCCCTACATGCCCCACCCAGATACTGCACGTGCTGACGTCGCTACGTTGTTTGACAGGAATGCTCGCACAAGTACTGCAAGACCTGCCTGAGGAAATACGTCGTGAAGCAGGTGTGCCAGAGCGTTACCACTACCTGCCCGCTGAAGGACTGCGGCGCCGCGCTGTCTGTTCGTGACATGAAGGTACGAGTGCACGACGTCTCCTGCGTCGCCCCGCTTCTTGACATTTACAGTTCCCCCGTTGTGCCGCCTACAGGAGCTGCTGCCCAACACCAGCAACTTCACTCCCAGTGGCAGCTCGCAACAGGCCACTCAGCGTCTGCTCTCCGAGCTCAAGCAGATCATGAAGACCGACCCCGAGAAGCAGGTACATTTCCTCATATAAGGTCTACGTGGTCGCACCAGGGGTGACTGATGTCGCCGACACGTGATTGTGTACTGTGCTGGGGGGGGGGATAAAAGGGTTACAGCGTGAAGCCCATCAAGGACAATCTCTACCACTGGGAGGTTCGCTTCTTCGATTTTGACAAGGAGGAACCGTTGGCCGCCGATCTTAAGAAGACCAAGGAGAAGGCCATTCTCCTCCACGTCACCTTCCCTCAGACCTACCCGTTCGATCCTCCCTTCATCCGAGTGATCAAGCCTCGTACGCCCCATCTTCCAGCTCAGCTCTTGTGCTTGCGGTTCGACGAGGACTCTAACGTACGGGGCTGCCAAAACACAGGCTTTGCATTCAGGACTGGCCACGTCACGATCGGCGGGTCCATCTGCACGGAGATGCTCACGCGCTCCGGCTGGACGCCTGGTGCGTTGCGTTGCTCTCCGACGATGAATGTTAACATTCTTTCTTACTTTCTCGATCGCATGCTCACTCACTCCTTCACTTCTCTCTCGTGGCGTGTTTGTTGTTTGATGTGCAGCCAACACGGTTGAGTCTGCGCTGGTCTCCATCCGCGCCAACCTTCTGCTGGGCGGTGCGCGCCTGGACCTCTCCAACAAGTCCGACTATTCGGAGAGGGAGGCCAAGGAGGCCTTTGAGCGCATGCGCCAGCAGCACGGCTGGTGAACGTGCTCACCGCAGCAGCGTCGCTTCGTCTTCCTCATGAGGTGATCTTGTGCACGAAGGAAAACACGAAAGAAAACATTTTCAGTTTGGGGCGAAGCTCATCTTCGCATTCTGATTCAGCGCCTTCACCAGCTGGTAGATCTTGATCGCAGCAGCTTCGAACTTCGATTTCGCCTGGCATTGATATAGAAGATGGGAGTGACCGAGAGCAAGGAGGACCAAAAGCTTCAGGAGATCTGGGCGGTGGTGGACGAGGACTCAGATGAAGAGGACAAATTGAAGAAGCAAAAGAAAGTGCTCACACAGGGGGTGAAGCTTGCCAAGCCTGCAGGTGACACATCATCATCTTCAACAACATCGGCTTCTTCAGTGCCGACGAAGCCGATCTCGCATCCAGAATCGCCCTTCCCTGGCATCAGGCTGCGTACTGAGGAGGATGGAGATGCCGCGACGACGAAGGACGAAGAAACCAAGGAGCAGGCCGTGGAGCCTGTTGCTCCTGGCGATGATGGTGCACCCTCTTACCAAATGGCGCCGTGCTACTCGCAATCGATTCTAATGTGCGTCCCCCCCAGGCCAAGAACGAGCGGCCGAGCAGACCGAAGATCAGGAAGAGGAAGCAAACGTGCCCGCGGACGACAAGGCAGAGCCCACAAAGGTTCGTGAAGGAAGCCGCTTGCTGCCACTGCCACTCTGAGCTGCAGCTTCTTGGCTCGGGGCATTTGCTGACGTGGTGCGGTCGCTCGTTTGTGCGCAGGAGGGAGAGGAAGAATGGGCCTCCTTTGCCAGCACGCCTCCGGCGACAGAAGGAAAGGAAGAAGCAGAAGAGAAGAGCGAGGCCGAGCCCGAGAACCCATTCGACGACGAGGAGGAGAAGGTCGAGGAGACCCAGGAGGTTGTGGGCGAGGAGCCACCAGCCGCCGAGGCCAAGGTGGACGCTGAAGAGGAGGAGTTCGCGGACTTTGTGACGAGCAGCTCCACTGCTGAGGCCACCGGCAATCCCTTCGGTGACGATGAAGCGGCGGCCGAGAAGACCGACGACAGCGAGCAGCAGCAGCAGAAGGAAGAGGCTGAGGAGCAGCCCGAGCAAGTCGATGCCCGCGATGAGAAGGCAGCGGAGGAGCCCAAAGAGGACTGGGGCAACTTTGAGAGCAGTGATGCCGTCGACAGCAAGGCGGAGGAGACCACGGAGCAGCCCGACAACAAGGAAGAGGAGCAGGAGCAGGAGAGCGTCGACGAGGCAGAGAAGTCGAGCGCTGAGCACGACGACGAGGAGGAATCAACCCCGCAGCAATCCACCGAGTCCGGGTTTGACGAGCCCGAGCCGGTCCTCGATGATGAGGGTGAGGGTGAAGAGCAGCACCACGAAGAAGAGAGCAAGGAGGAGACGTCCACGGAAGCTGCCGAGGAGAAGGCTGAAGTCGAAGGAGAGACCGAGAGACACGACGAAGAAGCCGCCAGCGAGGAGGAGCACGGAAGCGACAGCGAGCAGCCGAGCGACGAGTAAGTCGTGATCGACCGTGCGAGAGCTGACGCCAAGTCTCCCTGGTATCGGTCACCCTAATCCCCTCCCCCCGCAGGCCTTGCTCACACCGCACACACCGCACACGCACACATCCCACGCACCACCGCACACAACAGGTTTTGTAAGGGCGCGTTTACATTTCAAACAATGCGGTCATCCAGTTCTGCCTTGCAAGCCTTCCTTTTCGCAGTCATTGCCCAATTTTGGTTTGGCTGAACTGTACTACTGACAATTTTGGGGTAACCACCAGACGCGTTTCGGTTGTTGCCACCGACCTGGACTGGCTCGAAAGGGAACGTTGGCCCCCTCCCCCCTTCTCCACCTTCTGTTGCGTGCGAGCGCAAAAAGAAAAACAAAAAGACGCAGGTTGAGACGTACTATGATAGATTGACGGTACGAGATAAGAGAGATAAATAGTAAGAGATAAAACAAGAAACAATCGCGACAGACAGAATTGGTGGCGACCATGACATCTCAATTGCGAAAGCTCGTCTCCAAGAAAAAGAAACGGTTCGCACAAGAGGGCTTTGATCTCGATCTCAGCTGTACGCTCCCCCCTCCCGCCTCACCCGAGCCTCAACCGGCTTGAAAAGAAAGCAAACTGCTCACCCGTTTCATCTTCGCCCGGCCCCGCCTCTCTTGCCGCGTCGGCCCTCCACCTGCAGACATCACCGACAATGTCATTGCCATGGGTACGTTGTCTTCCTTCTTCCAATCTGGTCACCTTTGCCACCTTGCGAGTTTTTTTCTTCAGGAAACCTGACGCGCCACACCTCGGAAAACAGGGTTTCCGTCCGACTCGGTCGGAGGCATCTACAGAAACCCACGCAAGGAAGTTATTCGGTTCGTATACTGCACTGTTTCTACATTCTTAAGCGCACCTCTTGCTCGATCTCTCACTCTTCATTGCTTGTGGCCTTTCTTTCTCTCGCTTCTTTCTGCTAGAATGCTGGACACCTATCACGAGAACCAGTACAAGGTGTACAACTTGTACGTATTCCTCGCGGTGTGCCCACCTGTGTTGCTATCGTATTTCATTTCGTGCTGCACCACAATCACGACCTGATGGTGGCCGTTCCATTCACTTGGCCAGGTGCTCGGAGCGGACATACAATCATGCCATCTTCTACGGCAGGGTCAGCGATTTCCCCATAGACGACCACAACGTTCCCACAATGCCCATGATCCGCCAGTTCTGCGAAGACGCGGTTCGTGGCATCTGTGCCGCGCTTGTGTGTGTGTGTGTGTGTGTCTGTGTGTGTGTGTGTGTCATTTGTGCCTTGCGCTCACTTGCAGCGCGCCTACCCATTCACAGGAACAATGGCTACACCAAGACGAGGACAATGTGATCGCAGTCCACTGCAAAGCGGGCAAAGGCCGAACGGGGTTGATGATATGCTGCTGGCTCATACACTCACAGACTTGCGCCACCTCGCGCGAGGCCATTGAGCTCTTCGGCAAGGAGCGAACGAAGGATCGCAAGGTACATCGTCAACAAGTTACCTACAGGGCCTAGGCCCCATAATGCATGCGTGCCTCACATCGTTACCAAACACACACACACACCACCAGGGCGTAACGATTCCCAGCCAGCGTCGCTATATTCGCTACTACGAACTTCTCTTGCAGCACCAGTTGGATCCGCGGGACCTTCCGCCACCCGGCCAGGTACGGCCTATCGAAACCCTCCTTCGCAGTGAGCTGGAGTGGTGCCACGCGATAATTAACACGCCACCCCTATTGATCACCCAGATCCCGGTGGTGTTTTTGACCGAAGTGCGGACTAACGTGATTCCAACCTACGACAAAAGCGGAGCCAGTACGTTGCTGCTGCTGCAAAGCTCGCAATTGTGTGGTGATCAGTACTTACCATACCACCGTGCCATCTCTCCCAGACATGCGCATTCTGCTGAGCGATCGCTCGGGCAACGAACTTTATTCCGATATAGTGAGTCCCTTCCTCCTTCTGCGCAGCTGATCTCACTTCAGCTGCTGACTTGCTTTCTTCGCATGTTTGGTGCAGGCGAAATATAAGGTCGAGAACAAGAACCCTAGCGGCGGTCTCTACTTTGACTGTCGCAGCTGCCCGCTCAAGGGCGACGTGCGCTTGCTCATCTTTCACAAGTCCACGGTACTCCTTTCGCCATCATCGCATCAGGCGTTGGGTTTGTCTAGGGTCGTACATGACGCCTCACGCTCGTCCTTGTGGTGGCGATCAGACAATTTTGCAACTGTGGTTCAACACCATGTTCGTCACACGAACACAACTCACCTTTCGCAAGCATGAACTCGACAAAGCCAACAAAGGTTCGTCTCTCGATCTACAATTTCAAACAATGGATCCGGGCTCTCACGCAACACACACACACACCACACACCACACACGACACACGACACACGACACACGACACACGACACACGACACACGACACACGACACACGACACACGACACACGACACACGACACACCACGCACGCGCAGATAAGACACACATCCCGAACAACTTCACGCTGACAATGGTCGTCACCCTCCCGATCAAGAATCCCTACTTTGCCGATGTCCAGGAGGGCGAGGCCGACCTGAGTAGCGATTCGAGCCAGCCCGCCACCGACGACGATGACGAGGGCAGTGACAACGACGAAAACCACAACAACAACAACAACGCCGGCGAAGCTGACGAAGGCGAAGAACACGCGGACGACGCGGACGACAGGGAGCGAGACGCCGCGGCAGAGGCCTCCGGCAACAACCGTGGCCGTCGCGGCGGGAGCGGCATCGGCAGCATCGCTGGCGGCAGACCACCCAAAGCAGGCAAGAAGAAAGGCAAAAAGGAGGAAAAGAAAACGAAGAAGGAGAAGGATGGTCAAGACGGTGGCAAGGAGAAGGAGGAGAAGAGGTCGAGGTCGCTGATCAAGCGCTTCGGCCGGGAATCCGAGAACAACGTGGCCACCAAGCCGCGCCTGGAGAATGGCGACGCCGTGCCGCCGCCCAAGAAGTGGCGGCTGTCGCTCGTCGCGCCGACCAAGGTTCCCGCCCACATCAAACTATTCGCGCACGTTTCCCCAGCGCTCACCTCCTACTTGCAATCGTCATGTGTCGTGCGTGTCGTGTGTCGTGCGTGTCGTACGTGTCGTGCCATTGTGACAGATACCAAAGCCACGAAGGCGAAGTTCCAGCCTAGACGAGTCCGACTCCCTCATGGCTCCCGAGCTGGGCGAGTTTGCGCCCGGCCAGCTGATCGACGCCGGCATCCTGCTGGGCGGCCTGCCCTACGCCTCCTCGGCCTCCGACTCGGCCGTGGTCATGAAGGAGGACGGGCACATCGAACACAGCAGCCACCAACACCACATCAGCAACGGCCATACCAAGAAGGAGAAGAAGAATAAGGAGAAGGAGAAGAAGATGAAGAACAACAACAACAAGCATTCACCGAAGAAGAGGCCGCTGACGGCCAGCGCGTCGGACCTGCGACACAGCAGCGGAAGCGATGTCATCAGCGTCCACAGCGGCAGCGGCCACATCGCGATCGGCGTGCCCATGAGCGCGCGCGACCCCGAGCCGAGCTCCCACGACAAATCCACCACCAACCCGCGCAAGCACTCGAGCCCGGCCGCTGTCCGGAGGGACACGGGCGGGAGCAGCAGCCCTGCGCAGGGCAGCGTCGACCACCAAAAGACGCCGGAGCGCCGCGCGTCCGGCTTGGCGACGCTGCCGGCTCTCGTCGCGCCGGCGGGCTCCAGGCGCTCGCCCAAGGGCAGCGGCTCAGCGCGCGAGACGGGCGATCACGTCGACACCAATGGAGGCAGCGCCGGGCGGCGGGCAGGTGAGGCGGAGAACGAATACGACGAGGTCGGCCGGGGGAAAGTGGAGGGGGAGGAAGTCGCCGGTCCGACCCTGGCGGAGCTCGAGGCCGAGGAGATCGGCGGCGACGAGGACGCCAAGGAGAGGGAGTCGCCGGGCCGGCGGAAGGTCGGTCTGCAGGCCAACCTGCGTCGCCTGTCCGTGCGCCTTACCAACGTGCCAAACATTTTCAGGTGCCTTTCTTGTGTCATGCGTGTGCGTGTGCGGTTGTGTTGTGTGGCGTGCGGGCTTACGCAAGAGCTCATTGTGACGCGTGTGTTAATTGCTTCAGTAAATCTGCGAGTGTCAAGCCGGTGCGGGAGAAAGAGGAAAGCTCTGTGGTCGGGGGCAGCGTGATCCATCTGAGCTCGAGCGGCACGCATGGTACCCCGCAACAGCAGCAGGGCGGCAGCTGCATCGTTATCAGCAGTGGCGGCGGCGGCGCGGGTGGCGGCCGCGACATGATCAACGCCGCCGCCGCCGCGGCGGACTACGCTCAAGGCGACGAGAAGCCGCCCAAAAAGTCAAAGAGGAGCAGGCGCAAGTCGCGGCTCAGCGTCAACTTCGACAATTTGAAGAAGCTCACAGGCCTATGTACGCTCCCCACCGCACACGCACGCACACGCACGCACGCGGCTCACCGATGTATATTTGCGGCGCGAATAGCACACCCGGACCAAATGGAGAAGAAGCCGAAGCAGCAATTCTCGAAGCATGCGCGGTTCGACGACCGACGACTCTCCACGTCGGCGCCCTCGCTCGTCTATCCGCTGATGACAACGGCCTCGTCGTCGTCGTCCCTGCCCGCCATCGAACCCGCCGACCTCTCGAGTACGCCGAACAAACATCTGTGCGCCATCTACGGCGACGACTCGTATGAGGACCTCGACCTGGACCTGGATGCGCGGTCAGACGGCAGCAGCGGCAGTGGCAGCAGTAGCATGGCCGACAAGGCCGCCGCCGCGTTCAATCAGGCCGCGGCGGCCGCTGGCGATTTCTCATCGACGCCGACGACGTTGTCGTCGCTGTCGTCGTCGCCCTCGTCGTTCTTGTCCGCGTCGTCGTCGCTGACGCCGTCGTCATCGTCGTCGTCGTCTTTCATGAGCCCGCACCACCATCATCACTTGCAGCAGCACCAGCACCATCAGCAGCAGCAGCAACTGCAGGCGCGAAGCAAGGTGTCGGAGATCATCGACAAGTGGAACGCGCATGGACTCAAGTCGCGCGAGCACCACACGGAGGACGCGCTGGGCGTCATGCGGCGCGGCCCGGGCGACCGGAGCGAGATCGCCGTCCGGCGGTTCGCCGCGCAGGCCGCGCGTGGGTCCTACCCCGCGCAGGCCAACCATAACTACCCGGGCCTCTACGGCGGCTCATGCAACGACCTCTACACCCGAAGCGATCCGTACGCTTTTCACTGCCCACACACCAACGCATTCCAACGCATTCCAACGCATTCCACTGATATGCTGCGGTGAACAGGCTGCTGCGGTCGGATGACTACTACGACACGTCGGGGTATTCGACGTCGCTGCCGTCCGACTCGGTGATGGCGGGCATGTCGATGTCGACGTCGCCGTACTCGTCGGGGATGGGGTCGCTCAGCTGCTCGGTGGAGGGCTCCCTCGGCGAGAGCGACGAATTCGCGGGCGCGCAGTCCAGCCGATTCCGAGGCTGGGGGAAACGCCAACTCACCGATCCCCGGCGGTACGCACGACACGACACGACACGACACGAGCATGAGCTTCGCTCACATGATTTTTCGAATCTTTGTTTGGGGGTGTTTGTTTGGGACAGACCCCGGCCTCGGTCGTTGCATGCGGGCGAGGGCACCGGCAACGGCGATTTCGAGCGCCGGTTCGTTTCGGCCGAAGGCGTCAACCCATGGTACGACGCACCTCATCACCTCTCTCTCTCCGCCTCGATCGTGTCGTGCGCGTCGTGCGTGTTGTGTGTCGTGCGCGGCTGATCACGTGTGTGTTTGTTTCGTAGGATGGGTACGGCACAGCTGAGTGTGAGCGGCGGGGCGGCGTCGCCCGGACCCCGGCCGGTCGGCAAGGTCTACATGGCGGCCAAGGCCCTCGAGCCCGACCCCGCCCAGCCGGCCTCGGCGCCGCTCCTGTCTTCGCTGTCGACATCGACCACGTCGTCGTCATCATTGTCGTCATCGTCGCTGTCCACAGCGAGTTTTGGACCCAAGTCGCCCACGGCCGCGGCCAAGCCACCGCAGAGCATGCGCGAGCGGGTCCGCGCGGTGGTGGAGAAGCCGCGCTCCGGATCCCTCGCCTCCAGCCAACCGCCCTCCCTCATGCCCTCGCTCTCCTCGCCAGGCGGGCTCTCTTCGCCCCGGACCGCCTCGCCACGCCTCTCGTTGTCGTCGTCATCGTCGTCGTCGTCGTCACCGTCACCGTCACGATCGTCGTTTGCGTCATCGTCGAGCGTGCCGATCAACAAGAAGCGAGCGATCACTGTGGGCCTGCCCGGTGCGAAGCGCGGCGGCGGCGGCGGCGGCGGCAGCAGCAAGGAGCCGCTCTCGGCCCGGGCGGACAACAGCTGGATCACTCTCAACAGCGCCACCTCCAACGCCGCCGCTCTGTCATCGCACAACCACCTGTACACGCACCACTACAGTGTGACGTGTGTCGTGTCGTTGGTGAGGCGTGGGGGAGCTGACATCCGCTTTCGGTCGCAGTATGCAGGGGCGAGGCCGACAGCGCGCGCTCTCCATATCTTCGGCGGTGGTCGCACCGGTGAACCTGCGCAAGGCCACCTCCTCCGCGACCCTGTCCGGTTCCTGTACGACGCCTCACACACTGCACACTGCACTCGCACGCACACAACACATGGGCTGACGTAAGGAATGAATGGAATGCAGCAATCGCGCCGCGCGATCTGATCCCCATGCACGCTGCGGCCAACTCGTTCTCGACGCCGCTGGCCGACTTCCGCGAGTCGCGCGACCGGCGGACCGACAACCGCGCGCAGCTCTGGGCGCGCCTCAAGGGTGGCGGCGGCGGCAGCGGCGGCAGTCACTCGTCCCTGCTCGCCGACGTCGCCAATGAGACCGGACCCGAGGGCGTCATTCTGCCCCTCATCGGCCGCAAGCGCAGCTCCAACAGCATCGGCAGCGGCGGCAGCGGCGGCTCCGAGATACGGTCGGCCCGCAGCGGCCCCACGATCCACATGTCACAGAGCAGCATCATCACCGCCAGCGCCAGCGCGAGCCACAGCGGCGGCGGCAGCTCGGACCCTCAGGCTTTTAAGAAGGCGGATGAGGTCAGCGAGGCGTTTCGGCGCACGCTCGAGTCGACCCCTGTGCCGCAGGTGGTCGACGACCGCCGGCGCAAGTGGTCGTTCATGAGTCCGGGCGGCGGCGGCGGTGGTAGCGGTATCGTCAGCCTCGCCGGCCGTGACCGCGAGCCCACGCGCAAGAAGACCGGCGGGAGCATCATCGGCGGGTTCATGGGCGGCGGAAGTGGAGGCGGAGGCGGCGCGACACAGGAGGAAGGGGCCTCGCGAGGCGGGCGGAAGGGCAGCTGGAAGGCGAAGCTGGCGCCGCTCATCGAGGTCTCCAACAGCAACTCCTCCAGTTCTCCCGTGTCACCTCTCGGTACGCACAGCGGTCGTGTGTCGTGTGTCGTCGTGTGTTGTGTGCGTCGTGTGCGGCGGCACCTCACACACGTGTAAACGTTTCAGGCGGTCGAGGAGTGTCGTGCGTCACGCTCGGGACACGGCACGATGGCGACTCGGTCTCGGTCGTGTCGCCCTCCTTCTACACGCCACCGCCCACCTCGTCGCCAGCGTCCGCGTCATCGTCATCGCTCTCGTTGTCGTCGCCCGGTTCGGGCTCGTCGGCGGCAGCGCCGCCGCTGGCGTCGACGTTGGCGGCCAACGCGCGGCGGAAGCGGGCCGAGGAGGACGCGGGAGTTGGTGTGGAGGCGCTGCGGCAGATGCTGCGGGAGAAGGAGCAGGAGGCCGAGGAGGCCCGCAAGGTCATGGAGGCCAAGCAGTACGAGGTACGCGAGCTCAAGGAACGCCTCTGGGAGAAGCTCAACTTTGTCGAAGATTCAATCTGATCTGTTTGGGTGCTCCATAAATCAGCAGAATCTTTTTCATCTTTCATCGTCTTTCATCTTTTCATCTTTCATCTTTCATCTGAAGATCGTGATGAGGTGTCATCGGGAGGCTTGCGCTTGCCACTGGAGGACGGCTTGCGAGAGGCGTTCGATGAAGAAGAGCGTGACGGTCGAGTTGGGAACAGTGCGCAGCAAGTGGGGCATGAATCCGCTGTAGTATCCTCGCACTCCATTCACCCTGCGCGTAATCATGATCAGCACACGCACCACCGCACACGCACACAACGCGGTGTACCGGTAGATGTTGGCCACAACCTCGCGCAGGGGGATCACAGATAGTCCTCGTTGGCTCTGCGCGATGACTGTGATTAGTCGTGTGTCGTGCGTGCGTGCGTGCGTGAGTGCGTCAACGAACTTACCTGCATACACGTCTTCATGACGTGGAGCGGGTAGGTGAGCGCAGCTGCCACCACCTTACTGCTGGACGCCGTCAAAAATGTCTCCGCTACGTTCTGCTCGTTCACGCACGTTTGAGTCAACGACACACCACACACACCACACACCACACCACACACACCACACCACACAACACACACACCACACATGAACACAACGGAAGACAAACGACACGTACGACTGGTCGGTTGGGGTCTCCGTGCCATTGGGCCACCAGCTGCTTGAACCGTTCGAAGATGGTCCAGTGGAGGGCGGCGTGGCACGTCAGCGGGAGCGCCGGCACCAGGCCCTTGTACATCCCGCGCAGGCCCTCCGTTCGCACCAGCTCCCGCACCTCGGCTTCGGTCATGTGGCCGTGAGCGTTGGCGCACACATGTGTCGTTGGTCGTGTCGTGTCGTTGGTCGTGTCGTGTCGTTGGTCGTGTCGTGTCGTGTCGTTGGTCGTGTCGTTGGTCGTGTCGTGTCGTTGGTCGTGTCGTGTCGTGTCGTGTCGTGTCGTGTCGTGTCGTGTCGTGTCGTGTCGTGTCGTGTCGTGTCGTGTCGTGTCGTGTCGTGTCGTACCAAAGAAGCCGTGCAATCGCTGCTCCTTGGTGGCGGTCTGCATTCTCGTTTTGATCACAAAGATCGGGTTGGTCACCAGCGTCATACCCACACCTGCATCGTTACCAATCAGCGTGAGTGTCGCTCGGCGTGTGCAAATTGCGTCGTGAGTGTCGTGCGTGTCGCGCGGTGTGTGCGGTTGTGTTGTGCGTGTCGTGTGCCTGCTTGGAGTCCGGCAAGGAAATTGGCGGGGGAGGACTTGGCGTCGAGTCCCAGTGCCCGTGGTAGCAGCGGGTTCTGCTGTGCCCACTTGTAGATCCACATGAACGAACCCCACGCCGCCATCGGCCCAATCAGCCCTGTGGCCCACGAACACACTATGGTCAATTATTGCGGCGTGTGCGGTGGTGCGTGTGTGGTGTGTGCCGTGTGGCGTGTGTGTGTGGTGTGTGGTGTGCGGTACCGGGGGTGAGGCCGACGTAAAAAGCTCGCAGGCCACCATCCCGAAAGGTGGAGGCCACGACCGTGCGCAGCGCCCGGAAGCGCGACGCCTCGAGCATCTCCTTGTACGCTCTCGCTGAATAATAAATAAATAAATGAAGATGAATAAAGAAGTACAATTAAATCATTTAATCTGCAAAAGTTCAAGTTTAACTACCTTGAAGCTTCACTTTGATCAGATCGAGCGGGTAGAGGACGAGGTTGGTGCCCAGGGAGGCCACTGCCCCAATCACCGAACTGGCACGCGGGCTCACCACCCCAGCCGCCGGCTCCTTTCCCTTCCGGCCACCCTCCATCTTTTTTTCCTTTTGAACACTGAAAAAATTCAATATTTTGGTTTATCACATGAAGTGGTAAAGATGACCCAAGGGGCGTTGAAGGTGAGTAGTAACATGTTTACATAGATAGTAACAGTATGATATTAAACAAATGGAGAGGCTGGAACTTCAACGTCCCGGCAGTGAGTCCTCTTCGTCGTTCGGCGCAAACATGTCGTTGGCGATGTCATCCGACGTCGGCGGGTCGTGGACCACGAACTCCTCTTCCTCCACCCCCTCTTTCACTGCTGTCATTGGCAACACGGTTGTGTTGCAGTACATGGTGGACGCGTGCATGGCTCGCCTGCTCGCATCGCGGGCCCGTTGTCGTCGCACGCGAAGGTAGAGCGCACCGCCGAAGGCCACCGCCACCACCACGACCAGCGCGATCGGGATCGCCACCGCGGCGCCGATCAGCATTACGGAGCTGTCGTCGCCGCTCGACGACTGTTGGTCGTGGTCGGCGTTCAGGAGCTGGCCCATGCTGATCGCAGGGTCGTAGAAGAGCGAGTCGTTGAAGGGCGGGAAGGTGAGCTCGAGCACGTACTCGGGCAGCTGATTGGGGGACTCGCGATCGAGCAGCACCACCCGGTGGGACACAATGGGCACGATCTGGCCGTCGACCTTGGCCACGTCGAACACTGCGAGGCGCGCGGCCAGCTCTCGCGTGCCATTCGAGCCGGCGGTGGCCGACGTGGCCAGCAGCGGGAAGAAGTAGGTGGTCATGTTGACGGCAGGGAAGTTGGTGCGGGAGGTGACGACGGACGTGGAGCTGACTACGGCGACATCGGCGGTCGAGGTCAGGGCGGACAGGCGGTACCGCACCGTCGAGTTCCGAGCCTGGCCGCCGCCTGTAAAGTTGAGCGACCACTTGAGCGTGTTGGCGCCGATCTGGAAGCCCACCTGGGCGAACTCGGACTGCGAGGCGTTCTGGTGAAAGGCAAACGACTGCTCGAAAGTGGTCGTGGAGTCGGGCAGGACAGTCGAGTAGATGACCGTCTCCACCGAGGTGGATTCAGTTTCCGTAGTCCGGTTCTCAACTCGCACCGTGATGGCTGACGCTGTTTTGGTGGGGGGTGTGAGAACCTGACTACATGTTGCCACAGTCACCAGAGATGTACACACGCACCACTGATGGTTGTCGCTTCGTCGCCGCCCACTTGAAGATCCTGGAAGGCGGACGTCACGCCCACAGAAGGTCCCTCGGCACCTGTGAATGGATCTAAGAACCCAGCCATCATCATAACAGGTGCCGACCACGTACTTCCTCCTTCTGTTTGGGGCACGGTGATGTCGATGACCGGCACCTCGGGATTGACGCTGGCCATCACGTTCGACACCGGTGACACCTGAGGCACGGTGGAGGGGGTCGGCGTGATGGTGGAGGAGGGTGTGACGGTCGGCGTGACGGTCGGCGTAACGGTAGGCGAGGGCGTGACGGTCGGCGTGACGGTAGACGAGCGCGTGACGGTCGGAGTTGCTGTCGGAGTGCGCGAAGTGGTGCGAGAGGGGGAGAGCCCGGTGGTAGGCGTCACAGAGATTGAGGATGTAGGCGAAGTGGTGGGAGAAGCCGAGGTGGAAGGTGTAACAGAAGGGGAGGATGTAGGCGAAGCGGTGGGAGAAGCCGAGGTGGAAGGGGTCACAGAAGGGGAAGCTGTAGGCGAAGTGGAGGGAGTTTGAGTGGGACTGTTCGTGGGAGACTGTGTACTGCTTGGAGATGGCGACGCTGAGGGGCTGCTCGAGGGGGTGACAGTCGGGCTGGGATTTGCCGCGTTGATGGAGCACATACAGTACAGCTGTGCCTCGCAGCTGCCGTCGTTGAAGTAGAACGCACTTTGGAAGCCGAAGAACGCACAAGCTTCCCCTCCTCCTGATGGTTCGCCGGGCAGCCACACATTGCTGCTGGTGTTGCGCAAGAAGCTGGGATCCTCGCCATTGGAGAAGCTCCAGACGGTTCGGTCGGTAGAGGGCGTCATCGTGTATACACCGGACCAGCACCAACCCGACATGACAGGCCAGCTGCTGCCTGGACATTCGAGGGCTGCTGTGTCGAACTCGTCTTGTGTCACGAAGGAGGCCAGAGTCGCCCCGGGGTAGAACGCACCGCACGCGGTATCCCCGTCTACCCACATGGCAGTCTCTGTTGAGACCTTGTAGCACTTGAAAGTCGCGCCCGGGATGGGCGGGGGGGCGGCTCGCCAACCACTCGGGCAGACGTAGGTTTGTGCTTCAACAAACATCAAGAGAGCGCTGATGGCCAGAGCCACCATCGCCCAGCCTGGACGGAACATCTTCCGCAGCCTAATCTCTCTTCTCTCGATGTGTCCTCCTCCCTCTTCTTCTCTCGGTTACTGTAGTGCGGAAAGGTACGGCACGAGGCCACTATGAAGTGAAGTACGAGCACATTATATCTCTCCAGTTTGATTTTCACACCGAAAAGGAATATGTGGTTGGAAAAAGGAAAAAATTCTTGGCATTCTCAACCATATGGTTGGCACCAGGGGATCGTTGACAGATGGAGATGTAGGGTAAGCTGTTGCCCGCCAGTTTCAGTGGCTTTGTGTACCCAAGCGTGACGGTGGCTTTGGTGGTTGGAAAGTCAAGGTGTATTTGCACATTAAAAATGGCCTGCCCGGTACCGGGCATTTGTGGGGGTGGAGGTGAGGGGCTGGCGCTTAGTTGCAGGTGACCGAGTCGAGGGTGACGGTGGGCAGCGGGATGGGGGCCTGGTTGCGGGTGGCGACGATGCCAGCGCCCTGCGAGGCGCCCACCTGGAGCGGGCCGTAGGTGGTCGGGATGCCGAACACGTTGGCCGTCTTGCGGTTGAGCTCCCAGTACTGGGTCACGCCCACGCCCGACCCGAGGCCGAACGTGACCTGGCCGCCGTTGATCGCGCGGGAGCCCGTGTTGGTGATGGTGATGTCGTAGAGCTGGTTGAACCCGGAGGCGTCCTGCCAGTTGGAGCCCGAGCGGGCAACGATGCTCACCTTGGCGCTGCAGGCACCGGGGGCGGTGCTAGGCTGGGGCGAGCTGACGATGGTCGACGGCGAGGGCGACGACGGGGCCGACGAAGGGACAGATGACGGGGCCGACGAGGGGGCGGAGCCACCGCTGCAGGTGGTCGAGTCAACGTGGACGATGGGCGCCGTAGGGGCGCCGTTGGTGAGCGGGGTGCGCACGACGTAGCCGGCGGTCTGCGTGGCGCCGACCTGGATGCCGCCGTAGTTGGGCACGAAGAAGGTCTCGCTGGCCTCCTTGCGCTCCAGGTTCCAGAACTGGTAGAACGAGGCCCCCGAGGCCAGGGTGAGAGTCAGCTGGGCCGTGGTCACCACCTTGTCGCCGGCGTTCTTGACCGCGAGGTCGTAGATCTGGTAGGTGTAGGTGGCATCCTTCCACTGACCGCCCTCGGCGGCGGACCTGGCGGTCTGCTGGGTGGTCACCTTGCAACCACCGGTGCTGGGCTGCGAGGAGGCCGACGGCGAGGCCGGAGCGGAAGAGGATGAGGGCTGCGGGCCGGCGGGCGACGACGAGGGCGAGGCCGGGGCGGCCGAGGGTGAGGCGGGAGGAGCCGAGGGCGTCAGACCCTGGCAGTCGACTAACTCGATGTCGATGATGGCCTTGCTCTGTGACTTGATGATGTAGCCGAAGTTGTGGGTCTTGCCGGCGTGGATGCCGCCGCCCTGCAGGACGTAGTCGGGCAGCACGTAGAGGCCGCGGAAGTCCTTGGTGATCTCCCACAGCTGGTCGAAGTTGCCGCTGATGGAGAGGGTGAGCGACTTGACGTCCTTGGGGCCGGCCGTGATGGTGACGCTCCACTGGGAGTAGGCCTGGCCGTTCACGGTCCACGCGCTACCGAGAGTCTGTACGATGTCCACCTTGCACTCTTGGCCTATAACGATGATGATGATGATGAAGAAGGTGCAGGTGAGTGCGTGAGTGAGTGTGTGATCACTCAACGATCACACTTGTATCAAGCCAGGGTGTTGGTACCAGCAGCCAGGGCGCAGAAGAGGAAGAAGAGAGCCAGTGTCAAGAAGGAGCTCTTCATGATGCTGATGCTTGTAAGGTTGTTGGTTGTTGTTGCTTTGCTGGTGAGCTTGCAGAGTGAGGAGACCACGACAAACTGGAGCACATATTTATATGTGGGCAGAGCGTACAGCTCTGCTGCATCCTTCCTGTGGAAAGTCGGAGAGCCGGCGCAGGCACGGCATAGCCATATGGTCATGCCCCGACCACACGATAGATCCCATAACATATTAATCCAGCGCATCTCTTTCTGATTGGGTCCTTCAATGTTGGTAATTTGCCGAAAAAGTCAGTGATGGCGTGGCGATCGGCCATTGGCCCGCACTTAGTGCTCGGGATTGGTATCCTCACTCCAGTCTCAACGCAGGTCTGGCGTGCCGTGCGACTCAGCTTGCTCGTGTGTCGACGTTTGGGCTTCACCGCGAAATGTGCCCGAACTACACGGTATAGTGTGAGGTGGCTGCGGTGTGAACACAAACATGTCCCGTTTCAACCCGCTTCGCCACCTCCCCCTTGAGCGCCACCTCCGCACCTGATCAGGCCCTGTCTTGGTCCTGGCAATCCCAGCACAGGCCCACCTCGTCGGCCAGCGCCTCGCTGGAGGTGTCAAGAGAGGGTTAGGTGCGGTGGTCGACGTGCCAGGGTGGAGGGAGGTGGCACCGAGGTCGAAGGCAGAGCCCGCAGACGCGCTTCTTGCCACAGGACGAGCAGGGCACACGACAGCGCTTGCACGTATGCCGACCACACTCGGGGCAGTCTCGGGCGCAGGCAGAGCAAGACTGTTGGGGTTTGGAGAGAAGAGAGGGGGGAGGGCAGGAGGTCAGCAACACACGGTAGTGGATGAAGAGGAAGTTGAAGTTGCCAAAGGCGCCACCTGCTCGTCACACACGTGGCAACTCAAGAAGAAGCCACTACTTTCAACATCATCAACCTCGTCGTTGGTCATCCCCTTCCTGTACTCGCCCATGTCCTGAAGTACCCCCAAACTTCACCATGTTAGTGCACCACTGTGCGGACAGACCTGTGCTTTGTTTTTGTTCGCAATGAACGATGATGATGATGGTGATGGTGAGGGGTCACCATGTACCCATATGGTGCAACCGCAGTTGAAGCAGCGGGTGAGGTCGTCACGCTCGCACCACGCCAAGTCTGGCCCGATCGAAGTCCCTCGCTTTCGCTTCATGAGCTTTTGGGCCACCTGATCCCGCATTCGAAAGGGAACTGTCAGTTGTGGCCCAGAAGACGATGAAGAAGGGAACCGGGGACCTTGGACGGGCAGCCTTCGGCGCACACGCGGCCTCGGAGGTTGCCCCACTTCCAGAAGAAGCTCTCGAACCGGCTGCAGAGCTCACAGAGCCACCGATTGCACACGCATTGGCTCAGCTCGTCATCTGTAGGGCCGACCAGTCAGGTAAGCTGGGCCAGAAGAGAGAGAGAGAGACAGAGAGGGCCTGGGTGGTGGCGGGTGGCCCACGTACGACAGGAGATGACCTGACACCCATCGCAGAAGTAAGGCGCACACGCCAGACGCGATTCCCACCCTCTGTGCAAACTGAACTGCTTGAGGTGGCCCCGATTGCGACATGTCTACATCGATGGCGTGGTGTGGTGTGTGTGTCCGTTTAGGTCTGACCGACAAAGAGGGCTGATTGGTGGGGGGGGGTAAGTGACCAGCGTGCAATCCGCCAGCAGAGATGCAGGGAAGCAGTCGTGCAGCCTGCCCAGCAGCGACCTACTGACACCAATCACGTGCGGTGGCCAACAAAGAGCGAAAGCGAAAGCGAAAGGCGAGAGGTGAGTGGACAAAAGGGCGAAAACGACAAGCTGGAGAAGAAGAAGAGAGGGAGGGGCAGGCAAAGCGTACGGAAGGGGGTAGAGGCCGGTCATGCTCTTGAGCAGAAGAGACTCGACGAACTGCGACACGGAGCTGCGCGGCAGCACGCCCAAACAGGCCGCCACCGCCGGCAGCTCCTGGGGGCGGTGCAGCACCAGCCCCTCGACGCTCCGCAGGCACAGCTCAACCAACGGAAGTGGTGGACCAGTGTCCGGCGTGGTGCTCTCCGTCTCGGCCATTCACAAGTATGTACACATTTTTACATAAATATATATTATGGAAATAAATTGTTTTAGATTTCAGTTACAGTTGGAGTAACGGTCATGCAAGAAGCGTTTGGGCGGGAAAGTCGAAAGATTTCGCAAGCGTTTCGTTTGAATTGATTGACGAACCAAGATGAAGGGGGAGGATGATGCATCGTCGGATGAGGATTTTGTCGTCGCCTCAGACACTTCCGCCTCCGCCTCGAGGAAGCGGAAGGCGCCTGCAGCACGAGGAACCAAGGTAACTGCAAAATTACTTCTTAGCCCATGGATTTTGGCACTGATGACGGAGATGGCGCACTTCAAAGGCCGTAAAGGCCACCACGCCCAGGAAGAAGCCCAAGGCCTCCGCTTCTGCACCCACCACCCACCTTCCGGTATGCCGCCCCTTTTTGTGTGCTCAGTGTTGTGTGCGTGTGCGTGTGCGTGTGCGGTGTGTTGTGTGCGTGTGCGTGTGTGCGGTGTGTGCTCAAGTGAAGGGCGCGCAGGACATCGAGGAGCTGGGCAAGACGTGCGCGTTCGACGAGGACCAGGTGCGCTCCTTCCGCCGGGCGCTCCTGCAGTGGTACGACGAGCACCAGCGCACGCTGCCCTGGCGCCGACGGCGCACCATCGACGCCGACGGCCACGTCATCGCGGCGCCCAAGGCCGAGGGAGGCGATGGTGCCGATGCCGATGACGACGACGTGGGCTATGGCGTGTGGGTCTCCGAGATCATGCTCCAGCAAACGCGGTATTGCTGTGTGTGTGGTGTGTGGTGGTGTGGTGTGTGTGTGTGTGTGTGTGTGTCCTCACGTGCTCATGCGTGCGCCACCGTGTGTCGTGCGACGGCGTGAGTGCCAACTAGAGTGGAGACGGTGATCGAGTACTACAACAAATGGATGAAGAAGTGGCCCACCCCGCATTCCCTCGCCGATGCCACTCTTGAGGTCTCTCGTTAACCCCCCTCCACCTGTAGTCACCACCTCTACAACAAAGCTGACTCGTGTCGTGTCGTGCGTGTCGTGTTACGTCGCGTGTGTCGTGCGTGTCGTGTCGTGTGTGCGGCCGTGTGAAGGAGGTTAATGAGGCGTGGACGGGCCTGGGCTACTATCGCCGGGCCAAGTTCCTGCACGAGGGCGCCAAGGAGCTGGTCCGGCAGCACGACGGCCGGCTCCCGCGGACCGCGGCCGAGCTGCGGAAGATCCCCGGCATCGGACCCTACACCGCGGGCGCCATCGCCTCGATCGCCTACGACCAGCCCGCCCCGCTGGTGGACGGTAACGTGATCCGTGTCTTGTCTCGCCTCAGGTACTGTCATCACTCCACCGCACACGCATAACCGCACACGCACGCACCGCCGCACACGCGCTGATCACACACGCGCGCGCGTAGGGCGATCAAGGCGGATTCGACCAACAAGAAGGTGGTGGACCTGTTTTGGAAGCTGGCCGGCGACTTGGTCGATCCCAAGAGACCAGGCTGTTTCAACCAAGCCATGATGGAGCTCGGCGCCACAGTCTGCACGCCCAAATCGCCCAAGTGCAAAGTACACGCACGCACGCACGCACGCACGCACGCACGCACGCACACACACACACACGACACACCAAGTTGGGCTAAGGCAGCCTCCACGCACCACACCACCAGGCCTGTCCGGTCTCGGCGCACTGCCTGGCGCTCGCCGAGGAGCTCGACGACGCGCGCCCTGACGGCGCGTCCGTCACGCAGTACCCCTACAAGCCGCCCAAGGCCAAGCAGCGCGAGGAGTCGGTCGTCGTCTGCGTGCTCGAGCGGCGCCGGGCCGCCACCGGTGGCGGTCGGTCATCGTTCCTGCTGGTCCAGCGCCCGGCCAGCGGGCTGCTGGCGTCGCTCTGGGACTTCCCCTCGGTCAACCTGGGCGCCAAGGCCGACGGCGACGCGGAGGTGCCGCGAGCCCAGGCCGAGCGGGCCATCGACGACCACCTCGCCCGGCTGCTCGGGGCGGACCACCCGGTCTGCCGAGCCATCGACCACCACCATCACCGCACACAGGGCCGCGCGGGCAACGAAGAAGAGGTGGCGGCCGAGGCCGAGGTGGAGCGGACGTACGTGGGCGAGGCGACGTTTCTGTTCTCGCACATCAAACACTTCTACCGGGTCGAATGGCTACGCATCACCACCACCGACAACGACGAAGACGAAGACGACGTTCGATGGCAGACAACAACAACGAAAACGACTACAAAAGCGAAGAAGACGAATAAGAAGGCGAAGAAGGAGGAGGATGAAGATGATGGTGATGAAGAGGTGGTGATGAGGTGGCTGGGCGAAGAGGAACTGAAGGAGGCGGCGATTCCGAAGGGCATGAAGAACTGCTTCGCGCTGGTCGAGGCGAGTCGGAGGAAGACCCCGCAGGAGCGACGCAAGGCCAGCGTCGACAGCCGCAAGAAGCAGAAGAGCATCGCCGCCTTCTTCAACAGCAGCAAGACCAACAAGCCAGCCTAGCCCATCGCGCGTCATCTATTCATTCAACCCAGTGTCGCGGGTCGTGTTACAAAGTCTACATTTCATGCTATTTGTGTCAGGTACACGACCATGCCGACCGCGTAGAGCCCCAGGGCAATAGCGACGACCACGAGCGTTATTCGTTGGCGCAGCTTCCTCCTTGCTAGGACCTCGGGCGGGGCCTCCTCGGGCGTGATCTGGCCCAGGAGCAGCTCGCGCTCGCGCTCCTTCAGCCACTCCTCGTTGCGCTGCTTGCTCTTGGCCTCGCGCTCGCGCTTGGCCCGCCCGCGAAACTCCTCGTGGTACCACCGGCCCTTGGCCATCCGCTGGGCGCGCTCGGCCTCAAACTCGCGGTGGCCCGCCGCCGCCAGGCGCCATCGGCGGTCCGTCGCCTGCAGCGCCATTCGATCGCGGAACGTGGGCAGCCACCCGAACACCATCAGCAGCACCTCGTCCGGCAGCGTCTCGAACCCGTTGACTTTGTTGTGGTGCCGGGCCGGCGATGTCGGTGGTGGTCGGTCGTTGTTGTGGTGGTAGTTGGCATAGGTGTAGTTGCCAAGGCGGAGGCCGAGCTCCACGTCGCCCAAGAGGGCCTTCTTCTCCATGTTCAGCGTGACTGTTTTTATTTATATATTTGTTTTGGGTAATAACTTGGTTTTTGTATTTATTGTCGTGTTTAATTTGTATTTTTCTTTGTCGTTTTCCGTTTGGAGAAAGTTGATCGAAAGGAGGCCGCGGTTTGCTGAACCGCCCACGCAGCGATTGGTCGACGCCTCTTCAGAACACTGTAGTGGTGACCACTCAGGCGTCTTCGTCGTCTTCGTCTTCAGAGGAGGACTGGTTCTCGAGCCAATCGCCAAAGGCGTCGAGGCGGTGCTTCTGGTCGGCTTCGGTCTCCTTGACCTTGTAGTTGGTCACCCCGTCGTACCACTCGGCCACCAGCTGCCGCTTCGCAAAGAACCGCCCGTTCATCACCTCCAGACACCTGCACACGCACGTAGCACGCACCGCACACAACAGTTGATGAGCCGTCAGTCGGAATATAGAGTGTGTGCGTGTGTGTGCGAAAGAGGGGCAGTGTGTACTTGACGGCCGCCTCCGGTTCAACGAACTTGATGGCCACAACTCCCTCCGGGTTGCGCTGTTATGGCGGAGAAAGAAAGGAAGAAGAGATTAACGTTTGTGGCCGAACGCGGAGGCTTGTCGGCCTCAAGGAGCGTACCTCGAAGACGGTAAGCACTTCGACCTCGCCAAACTTCTCGACCTCTTCTCGCACGTCGTTCTTGAGATCCGGATAGAACTCATCGTCGCCCTGCCATCAACAATGTCACGTGTGCGTGCGGTGGTGTGTGCGGTGGTGTGTGTTAGCTTACATCTTTGCAGAACTGGCCGGTGGGGAGGCGAGCAAAAACGTACGATGGCCTCCTCGGGCGAGAACATGTTCTTGATGATGACGTGCCTTCGCGTCTCCCACTCGACCCACGAGAGCTCCTCCTCCTGGTTGATGCGCACCTTCTTCTTCTGCTTCTTCTTACCCACCGGCTTCTTGGCCTTGGGCTTGGCCTGCTCACTGTCGGGCTTGTTCTCGAACTTGGCCTAGCTCCCACCACCCGCGTCAGTGCGGTGTGTGCGGTGTATGCGTGTGCGGGTGTGAGTGTGGTGTGTGGTGTGTGTGTGGTACCTCGGTGACACGAACGACGCAGCCGGGCCTGATCTCGCTTTCGTCGAGGAGCTGCAGGGCGAGGTCGACCGACTCGCGCTTGAAGTAGACCACGAGGGCGTCGCCCTTGAGCCGGCCCTGCTCGTCCTCGTAGAGCTTGACCTTGTACTCGCCCGAGTCGGGGTCCTTCCGCACGATGCCGCACTTGGCCATGAACGGGAGCAGCTCCTCCTTGGTCATGTCCAGCGGCAGCCCGCTCACGTAGACCGTCGTCGTCTTGCCGGGCTTGGGCGGTTGGCCGCCCTTGCCCTTTCGCTTCTTGCCGCGCCCGGCGCCGGCGGCAGGGGCGGTGGCGGTGGTCGAGGAGGTGGGCATGTCGGCGGGGATCGGCGGGATGTCGTCGTCGCCCAACCAGACCTGCTGCTCGAGCGCCGGCTGTTGTTCCTGCCCCTGCAGCCATAAAATAAAAGCAGAGATCAGAATAAAATAAAATAAAAAATAAGGTATACAATGATTTATATATTATTTTATTTATTCCCTTGAAGGGATTAGTTGATTAATCGTGAAGTGGATGATGGATTCAATTAAATTGAAAAAAAATGGAGATGTAGATGTACCGCTTGAGGAGCCAGGCTTGGGTGGTGAGGTCCCATTGCCACTTGTAGCCTGCTTCGTCTGTGTAGAGGTAGGGATTGCTGGGATCGTAGGTGCCCCCCGCCCCTGCGAACTGCTGCTCGTGTTGCTGCAGGCCGTCGCCACCGGTGCTCGGTGCGGGCGTGCCGCTGCTTCCTTGACCTCCTCCCTCCATACCTTCACCGTGATTCACGATTCAGAGCCTTTTCCTTCCTCCACCCACGAAGCTGCACTCGCTTCGAGCTCGATCTGGTTTGCCTTCTTTGATTGGCTTTTTCTACGATTTTTATTTTTCTCTTTTTCCATTCTTTTTCACTTTGGGTGGTTCACTCCTTCAGATCCTTGAACTGCAACAAGAAGATGAGAGAGAAGAAAGAGAGGTTAGAGCTGGGAGATGAAGGTGGAGTGATGAATGTGATGGGGTGGCGGGAAAGTGAGGTACCCTGTCCGTGGAGGTGATGTACTGGAGGAGGCGTGAGTAGGGACCGAAGCCGTGGACATTGCTCACCACATCACTGAAGTGGCTGAACTGACGTCCGAACTGTGTGTCGTGTGCGTTGCGTTGCGTTTTGTGTGTCAGAGCTGACCAGAGACAGGGCGCGAGGAGATGATGATGACGACGATGATGACGACGACGACGATGACGATGATGAAAGACAGGTACCTCCTGTACGTCGAGCAGGAGCTGACGCACGATCTTGTCCTTGTCGGTCATCTCCCCCGGCTCAGTCTAGAAACACACGAACACAGTGTTTGATCAAGATCAGGGCGTGGTTGCCGGAGTCATCTCGCATCATGTCCGAGTGAGGCGGGCCAGGTACCTGCGTCGCTTTGGAGGGCGAGTACTTCTTGAGGTAGCTCTCTGCCTTGTCGACCGTCTCCAGCAGTTCCGTGCTCATCTCGTGGTACCTGCCGAGCGCAAGAAGTTTTTAGCATGTGTGCGCACTGTGTGCGTGTGTCGTGTCGTTGGTCGTGTCGCGTGTTGCGTCGTCGGTATGCAATAGCAGGGTGCAGACGGGTGCGTACTTCTGGGAGATTGCGGTGAGGACCGTTTCGGCCCACAGACGCCGAGCCGCCGGCGAGATGTGTGCCCTTTTCTCATCGAGGAATGTCTGTCACACGAGACAAGCGGGCAATGACCGATCAATCAGCTCAGAGTTCGTTCACACAATGCCACGTGTGCGTGTTGGATACCTGAAGCGGCTTGAGCACGTTGGGCACGTAGTAGGAGTGGCGAGTGGGCACGGGCTTGTTCGTCAGACGGTAGGTTCGCGAGATGCCACGCAGCGGGAGCAACGACGTCGCGCAGCGGCTGTGTGCAGTCACAAGGCGCAACGCCAAGTCAGCTCAGCTCAGCTCAGCTCGGCGCACCATGAAGAAGACGAGGGAAGGGTGGTACTCTATGATAAGGTCGGTGACAACGGTCGTGATCTCGGGCAGATCCTTGGCCAGCTCGGCCAAACTATCATCGTAGCCCTCTAATCGGATGCAATGATGGGAAAGGTGAATCCACAACATTTCGTATTTGAGAAGCGTGCGGAGAGAGAGAGGGAGGGAGAGAGGAGTACCTTGCAGGATCTCCAGCACGTCGGCGGGCAGATGAGCGTTGATCGCTCGTACGTGGGGGAAGTGCTGCTGGGGCAGCTGCGTCCAATGAAGATTAGCAATCAAACGAGCACGACTAAGCTGCAGCACATCGCACACGCGGAACACGTCAACGTACAGCTGCAATGAGCTTCTCTACGTCGTAGTAGAGATAGAGCAACTCCTCGGGCTGCAGGAGGGACTTGACCTCGGCAGCCGGAGTAGTAGCAGCAGCTGCCGGAGCACCAGGGGCAACACGTGCTCCCGGCGCGCCGAGCGCCGACGTGGCTCCTTCGGCGGCTCCCGGCTCCTGGCCAGCCATCGCCAACTGCTTGACTTCGGCAGCGTTTTTACGCACCTGCTGGACCCACACGCCATAACGTGCCAGCAACTGCGTTCGAATGGAATGTCAGTAAGAGATTAGTTACTAAGACAATAG